TTTAAGAAATTTGTAAACAAAACAAATTTATTGATTTTAAAAATCTTCCAAAATTAACTTATAGATTTGTAACAAGTTACTTGAGTAAAATTAGAAAATTTTAAATTAATCTGATTTGAAATAAATATTACTTATAGCATAAAAAAGTAATATACAAGCATTTAGTAACAATGGGTGCTGATTTTCTTTGATCTTGGCATATAGATAAGATCTGAAAAGATGACAGCGAGTATGGATAACCAGAATTGACATAAAATTATAAAATCTAAGTGAGCGCATTTTTTTTTCATTTTTAACTACCTAGTAGTTTTTACAAATTAACATATTTTCAGCAATTATTTAATATTTTATTGACTTTAATTAGGTTCCAAGAAGCTTTATGAAATTTGCATTTCACTCCTTGTTTCTTAAGTTTACTACTTTAAACAAAAAAATTAATTAATTGAAGTAAGACCCAGACTAAAATACATAAAATAAAAATATTTAGTGAATAGCAATTGAGAAAAATGAAACCTTTTTTTTATATATTTTGAAGGGATGATTTGCAAAGACATTAATGATTAAACAGAACTGAATATTAAAAGTGAAATAATTGAAGTGCATCAGATGACACTTAAATCACGTGACCTTTTTAAGGATTATGTAATGTATAAATTCCCAAAGGTAGGAATTAGGAACGTTTTTTCACTGTAATTTATTTAAAAAAATTTTTTTTAACTATTTGAGTACAAACGATTATGAGCTTTACAAATTTTGATTCGTAAATGTACTTTTCACATAATAATATCACCAAACCGCTGTCTTGAAAGCAATGAAGAATTTTAAATTATTTTTAAATTATTATAATTAAAATTTTAAAAAGATGTCAAAATTCTTGTAAAAATTCATTAATCATTGAAAAAAATTTTATTTCTTCAAACAATAATGTCCTTAATATAACTTACTTACAAAACAAAAGCTTTTCTAATTAGATAATGTCAGAGTTTTATTGCAGCTTTTATCTTACAATTCAGAGAAGATTTTTAATGAAACTGGTAACTGTTTTTACAAAAAAAAAATTAGTGATTTACTTTCTCCAAGGAGTCCTGTTTTTAACTAATAAAAAAAAAAAAAATCCCCATCCTAAAAATTTAATTTCTCAAAATTTCATGAAATTAAGTGGGTGGTAACATATGTAAAAAAAAAAAAAAAAAATTCAAAAATAATTTCATTCATTTCTGAAAATGTCTTGAAAGTTTCATTAAAATCTGGCAATTATTTGAATTTTGCAAGAATTTCCAATTCAATGTGTTTTTCACCGGGACAAATGCAAAAGAAAAAAAGAAAAGTAACCTTTATCTTTGGTTCGCCGCTGACATTAAAAAATTAAAAATTTTAACCAAAATTTACGTGCTACAAAGGAGTAAAAAAACTTTGGTCTTTCTTCTTAATAATAACAAACATTTTAATGACAAAACTTTGTGTTTATTGAGTTTGAGGCTTTTTTTCATCATGTTATGCTGTTTTTTATGTGACCAAGTGAAGGTACCTAAATAAAATATTCTGATATGAAATATGGTAAAATCTTTTGATAAAATATCTCTGCAAATCCCCAAGAGTATTGATTGCAGAACAGACAGAACTAAAAACAGATATTCATGCTAATAGAATAGAACTCAAACAATTTAATTTTTTTAATCAGAAAAATCAACCAACAATGAATTTTTCAGCCAGAAATAATATTCATAATTTGTATGATTACCAAGGCAATGAACATCAATGCGAAATTTAAAAGACTCATCACCAAACACAAAAACTAAAGTGAAAATATTTTTATGTCTCTTGTGCTATATAATAAGATAGTCTTAGACATATAAAGAGATAATTATTTGAAATTTACACACAATTAGAATGAAAAATTATTAGTATTTTAATGTCATTTATTTTATGAGGTGATCTTCCTAATTTCAAATGTTTCAGAATTTCTAAGAGAGTACCCAAAATAAAATAATTATCTACTGAATTATTAAATCAACCAATCTATGCTAAAATACTGTTCTGTATCAATATGTTGTGACAAATTTGATTCTAAAATCTACCTTTTTGTTCTATTAAATTTGGTCAATCACATACTATTTTCTAAACCTGACAACAAATCTAGCAAAAAATTGTTAACTAGATTTTTAACTAAATTAGTTTGACATAATTTTTATAAATTTAATCTTAATTTCAACACAAACCGAGTTATAATAAAGTTGTTTTGTTCTATGGATAAAACCATTTCTTTTCCTTAGGTATGCAACACAAATATGAATTCAAAAATGTCCCAAACAACATTTGTATATTTTGACCAAATGTTTTTCAAAAAGACTGAAAGAAGCCTGCAACCATTATCAAACACCATGACAGATTATCCTCACCAACAACAATATCCCTTTAGTTGATGAAATTTCAACTAAATGAGATCACTGCATTTTTTTTTAGATATTTTTTTTACTTTTCAAATTTTTCATATTCACATTTTGCTTAACTTAACATTTACTCAATTCAAATGCACAAAAGAAATGAAAAAGTATATATTAATTTTTTTAATATTTAAAGTATAAACATTATGAATTATAAAGTGATTCTTCTTTGAATGCAATCCGATTGCAAAAAGAGGTGTCATCTGTTAATAAAATGGTCTACAGTCTGAAGTGACACTAAACAACATATGAAGACAACTCTATAAAAAAGGATTTCCTAATCTTCTGTTGAGCTATTATGAGATTAACCAAAGTTAACATAAAATGATTATTCTGATCAAAAAACAGCTTTACAATTTATACAAGTCTGATTAAAAATACAACAAATAAAACTCAAACATAATACAGTTTTCCAGGAACTAAAATAAAATTGTATCAAAAGTATTACATTAATGAATTCTTGAAAAATGAATTTTCAAAAGTATATTGGCTATCACAAAAATTAATAAATTATTTTGTTTGATATGCACCCTAAGATACTTGTAGGGTACAATGAATTAATAAATCACTTCTATTGGTTAAAACCAATAGCCAATTTCATAAAATGAAAACCTAAATCAATGTTAACAGCCCTGATTTAATGAAAACCTCTTCAAAATCACAAGGAAATCTGAGTGTTGAAATCTTAAAATGTGGCAGACATCTCAACAATCTCTAAATTGAAAATAAAAAAAAATGAAAAGATAAAATGATAAACCATCATGAAGTGGAGAATTCAATTTAAAAGAATGTATTCAAGTGTGAAAAACAAATAGAATAAAAGGGAAAAAAGCAAGAGAGAAAAAAATGAATCTTGTTTTTAAGAGACAAAAAAGTAAAGAGAAGGAAAAAAGCAATGAATTTTGAATAAATCAATAAGATTTAAAAAAAGATAAATATTTTCTTTTCAAGTGTATTACAATTTAATCTTTTATCAGTAGAACAAAAAAAAACAACCAATTGAAAAAAAAATAAATCAGACAACACAAGAACACAAAAATAAATATTCAACAAGGATATTAAAAGCAAAACCCAAATATAGAAATAATAATGAAAGTAGTTTTGTTATTTTCAGTGGAAAGCTTAAGTCAAACTGCCAGAGTATACAGAAGGCCCAATTCTAATTGTCCAAATTCAAGGATTTTACAAGTACAAAAATATTGAATTTAGTTTAAAATGTCGATGTTCTCCTTTCAATTTTTAAGGAGCAACCAATAAGTGAAATGGAATTTCAGTTCTAAAATAATATACATACATATGCTTATCCTAGTACTAGACCAATCATGTGGCATGGGTTTACCTTTTATTTTGAAACTAAAAGTTTATATCTCAAAGTTTGTTTGCTATAATTTAAAATCACTTAATGTTATGTTCCTTGCTTATCACTTGTAGTGAAAGAGATAATCAGTTACCCCGAAAAAAAAGTTTGTGTTTTGTGTGCGATCTGCCAAAGAAAAATTACCAAAAAATAGTCAGCAAAAATCTACATCAATGACTAGAAGCTATGCTAATGTTCTTCCCTCCCCTGAATGGCGTGACCAATCAGAAAATTCTCTCGGTGAACAGAAGTCGTCGTTTTTCGCTTATAAAAGATGATTTTTCTGAGCTGAAAAACGAACAAGCGTTGTTGTTGGTGAGAAGTGAAGGTTGGATGTGTGACCCCATTTTGTCGTTTCTACATTGTGTGTTGGACTGTTACGTCGGACTATCATGTGAACTGCGATTTGGCTACAAGTGTTGCGGCCGAGAAACAGAAGAAATCTATTGCAGTTGCTACTATCAGTTGACAGTTTTTTCTTTACTACAACAATCACTCTTGACTAAAAATTAACCATCAAGGAAGTTCCATACTTAGATGTTATAGCCCCAATCAAAATGTTCCCATTCAAATAAATTGGATGGATGTTGTGAAGAAAATAGATAGAACAATATTGGAAGATAAGATGACTGAAAGAATTGGCATACATTAACCACTGACAGCCTCCTCAGTAGACCTTAGTATATTGATGAATGTTATTGAGGAGCCTTTCATTAAGAAAGGACACACATTCCAATGGATTAAAGCATTGCTTAAAACATGGCAGCCATTCTGGTTCTGTTGTAAAACAGATAAGCAACCTAAAAGTGAATAAAACTGGTGATTATGAACTGATCTCAAACATCACCTAAGCATGTAAAGTGTATATAATAAAATTCTTCTATTGGATCTCTTTTTTGTATCTTCTGCTAGATGCTTAACCTTCTGTTCCTAATATGTTTACAGGTTCAAATGAGTCATCTTTTCTGGACTATTATACTTTTAACTCTCTTTTTGAACAAAAAAAAAGCCAAGATGAAAATATTCTAAACATAAAATTGGTTGATGTTAAAATCTGTTGTTATATAATCAACACAATATTTCAAAGTCACCCTGACATTCTTTAAATCTGCAACCATTATAACATGCAATATTTGATAAAGAAAGAAAAAACTGAAAAAAAATAGAAGAAAGAATCTAAAATGAAAGAAAGAACTTACTTGGACACAAGTTCAACTGCTTGTTTTTCAGGACCATCTCCAATAATAATCTTGATGTAGTTCCATACATCTTCAATGGCCTTTGACCATTTTTCACTGAGTTCATTAGCTGGTACAAATTCAGGTAACTTCAGCATGAGCAACTGGTTACCAATTCCAATAAGATGGTCTTCTGAGTTCCAGTAAGTAGAAGGCAAATCTGTAAAAGATTAAAAATAACAAAGAATAAATTCAGTTCAAACTGTTGATCATGCCAGATTATGAGCTTTCTCAACCAGAATTCATAACTAAGGTCTGCTCAACAAAGTTGAGTAGTATAAGCAACAGATTGCCACTGTGGGAATTGAAGAAACACAAATGTGCTTGAGAAGTTGGATTATCTAGCCTTCTTAACAGACAGTCATACTTAGATACAAGTGGCCAGCCATACACTGACTGCAAATAAAATGGCTGCATTGAATTTATTGATTTTTAGCATTTACCCATATTACAATTGTGATTGTGCAAGCCACTAATAGGAGAAAAAGAAAATGAAGATTCTTTTTCTTTTTTTGTAGTAAACATTTGTTTATCTTGTGAGATAATGGTAGTGCTCTGCTTGGCCAAAATTCTTTTGTGAATAGGGTCTGGATTGGCTTAGAAGTCCAATCTTTTCATGGCAGACTCTTCTGCAAGTGTGACAGATGATGCTGGAGTGAGGAACAAAAGTCTGAGATTGTTTACTTGACTTGCCATGCTGTATTATTACCTCCCAGTTGTTGGTTTCAACAGGCACTGAAGTTTCGTCATCAGAAACTGAAAACATCCTACATGTACTTATGGAAGGTGATGATGTTGCTTATCAATTATGAGGGACAGTTAATTTTCTTCAGTTACTGAAACATAACTTTCTTACAAAAAAAGTTGAACACCTTTGAGACATCAATGAAGATGGCATCTGTTCTTCATGGCATTTCTCTGGACTGACATAGTGAAAAGATCATGTCATCTGTAAATCTCTTCACCATAAATCCACACTGGGAGTCTGGGTAGATGTGATCAGCAAGGACCTGGACTTGAGTTAAGACCACTCAGGTAAAACTTTTCCAGTAATTCTTAACCCCGGTAGCTGACAGTCAGCCTTGTTTTTATATAGGATAATAATCTTGGCATTGACTTCTCTTCAGCAGAGACTCAGGAGACTATGGAGTGGTTTCAGTACAGCTGGTTTACTGTATTTCATGATCTTAGGTGGTATACCATCTTCATCTGGTGCTTTTCTACAAGCTAGGGCATTCATGTCTTTCCAGGAATGGCAGACTTACAATATCATCAAGAACTTATTTAGCTTATCTTTTTCTGTAATCAATTCCCCTGTCTTTGATTTCAGGGGTACAGACTTCTTTGTTGGTTTGCCTGTTGCTTGTTTAATGTCAACATAAATATATATGGTTTTGTCTGTTGGATGCTATCTGACAGTTGGAACCAGTAATAATTAGAACAGCCATATGCAGTTTGTTGAGCTTTCCTGTGAGCAGATTTCAGAGCCTGTAGATTTTGATGGCTAGAGTCATGCTTGAATTTGAATGGTACACTGTGCTTACCATTGATAACTGGCTCTAATGTGGAAATATTAGGCTCAAACTAGTATTTTTTCTTGTGTACCTGCTTAGCATAGATTGAAACTTTTTACAATCTATAAAAATGCTATTACCTTTACACTATTATCTTAAAGAGAAATATTACAAATAATTATAAATATTATGTCATAAATAAGCAACTAATATAGGAAACATTTTTCTATATTTAAATTAAAATGTTTCTTTGTCTCTACTTAAATTCAAAACTTAAATCCTCCATTGATATCTTACAACTAGTGAATGATTCTATAAATAAAAGAACACCATTTATCTTGGCAAATTCTTTTTTTCTTTATTCATCTAAGTTTTTTTCCTAAATATATTTAAAATTACTTGTTCATCTAAACCTACTTAGCTTCTTATGTACATACCTAATTATACTTTTCCTCATGATTCTCCAAAATACACTCAATGGTTACAGTTTATCCAATTATCATCAGATCCACTAATGAATAAATTGAACGTTTTTCACAAGGAATATTGACTTTCCTGAAGTTGTCGAAAATTATGGATGGTAGTATTTTATCATAAGAATTAGCCACTACATAAAATTGTACACAATATGCTTTCTTTGTTTCTCGTTATTTCTCTCTGGATTATGATATGTAACTTTCTAAAATTTTATTTAGTGTTTTATCCTTAAATTAAAAATATGTTCTATGGAATTTCCTAAAAGATTTTTATAAGTTTCCTTTATTTTATTTCTTAGGAGAAATATTTTTAACTGGTAGTTAAATGATACAGCTTAGTTTTCAATTTGTAAGTTCAACACAAAAGGCACTAAGTGTAAACGACAATGTATAAATTGGTCATATCCATTATACATATATGACAATTCAATGAAACAAATCTTTGATTGGCACTGGACATATTCATCTGAGAACAAAACAACTCGAAAAAGATAATGTGGCAGATAGCAATGGTCACCCTTGTAATATTAATAATTATAGTAGTATAGAATTTTGTTTATAGACAAGAAAGATAATCTGTGGTTAAGTTTGTGTACTTCATCAGACTTATTAATATAAAATGTCAAAACAATAGTGCTTATATGAACTATGGAATACCAATTGAGAAGCAGCAACTGCTCATTTAATCATGAGGGGGAGAGGTCAGTAATCAGGTTGTATTCTAAGGTTACCCACACCCTGGGTTTTGTCGCTAACACACATTTATTTAAGTGCATGTTTGTGTGAAAGTCGACGTAGCAGTCGACAAGAGAGATAGGCAGTGAGATTGAAAGTGTCTGCTTGCTGCTGTGATAAGTTTAATGCTTGCTGAGTGAATTAATTATGGCCACTACTAAGAACAAAAAGGGTGAACCTGAAAGCTACTTTTCTCCTTCCAGAATTATTTGCAATATTCATTTTTTTTTTTTCCTGAACATTATTGCTTATACACTACTTTCTTATAAAGGAAGGATTATTCTTTTTGTACCAATTTCTTTCTTATATACATATACATAAATTTCTATTTGGACTTGAATCGACTTGTTCATATTTGATTTTTTTCTGCTCGCCCCACCAAACTTACAGGTAGACCAGCTGAATCTTCTAGGATCTATGATTTGTCATTTGCTCTCCAGGATCAAAAAATATCACAACGTGGCTGGAGAGTGGAATCAAATCAACATTGTAAACCAGAGACTTGGATTGAACCTGTAATACTGGATCAGGACAGGACCAATGGCCAGTCTTGTAGAGTACATCGATCCAGTGGGGTCAGGATAGGCGTTACAAAAATATTAAAAGAAAGAAACAGAAAAAAAACAAATGTTTGTTTGGATCTGAAAACAGAATATTTCTTTTCCAAGGTAAATATGAACAATAATTTAAAATAAAGTATTTCTTTTAATAATAGAGAATTTTTATCAAATATAGAAACTTGTTTTTTGTCCCTTGTTGGAAACCTAAGTGAAAGACAGGCACTCCAATATTTAGATTAAAGTGTGTTTTCCATATAAGCAAGAATATCAATTTAATAATAAGGAGAGGTTTGAACATCAGACTTGACATCGGTGAACCTGAATTTCTAAACGATAGGCCATCACCCAGAGGCATTATTCCCTATCCACATAATTCAGAAGCAAAATTAGAAGCCTAAACTCACAAACCTTTAATTATCTTTATTAATTCTATTTGGCAATAAAAGTGTCCCATGTCCATAAGAGTCTGGGACTCAAATGTTACATAGAGACAAATGGAAAGCTAGAGAAAAGCACACAAATTATACTAATTAATGGAAGATAGATTAGCAGACAGTTCAAAGCTAATTTGATTCCATGTTACACTGAGGTACAGATAATGTCTCTTTTGTGGTGAGCACTATTATGTCAATTACATATTTTTATTAACTTTCTCAATAACCTTTGCATTACTGATGACTCAAACATGACCATTAGACAACATTCCAAAATTATACTTTAATTACATCTTCCAATTTTAGGTCATTCTCTTGCCACTGACTTATGATTTGTCTTGAAAGCCATTGCCAGAATATTTATTCATTCTATCCTTGATCTAAAGTCAGTTTCATCCAAAAGTTTCCACCTGTCCATTTTTGGCTACATTGTAATGGTTAGTAACAATGCATCACAAGTAATGATTAATACCTGCATTCTTCACTGAGTGCTCCATCAATGTAGTCATCTATAAAAACAGGTTTAATACAACAAATACTATTTACAGTGTTTGCTTCAGAGTAAGCACAATATCAGACATGTGATAATAATTTGTCTATTATTTTAGAATTAGAAATACAAAATCTCACTAAATTTCTCTTACCATATCTTCCTATCTAATTCAACCATATGGAACTTTTATAGAAAATGAGAAAAAATGAGACCTATCTTTGACAATAGTGATGATAAATATGCCATTTATTATTGCTGAAGAAAAAAAATCCATGAATATGCTATGGTAAGAGAGAAGATATTAGGTCAGCATCATTATTTTCCTCAAAGGGCATAAAAACAGTCTATACAGAAAAGCACATTGATTTGTAGTGTAGCATTTTGTTTACAAGGCATGTTTTTAAGAGAAAAAATAAACAGTTTTTACATAATATGAAGATTTCACTTAGGGTCTCTCAAAATGTCTATTACTAATTGATGAATGTTGTTTTACAACACATCAACTATTCCTTAGTTAATGGTCATGTATTATGATGCCATTTTTTAAAGATTTCAAGTTGTAATTTTTTAACAGAAGTGACAAATGCTATATACTGCCCTAGGGTGACCTGAAATAATAAAGGGATAGGGAGAACTAAAAATAAAAGGAAATAACAAAAAATGAGAGGGTATACAAGCAGATATTTATGTTATGCAGGTAACAAGAATTATACAAGCATATGAATGTATGCAGTTTAGTGCAATATATGCCTTTTCTAAGTGGTAGGGACCTGTTAGCCTGCTTCTATATCCTGACTTTTATTTGGAAATGAATACTGATATCAGGTTTCAGATGAAAATATACAAGTCAGTGAGAAGAAGAAGAAGAAGAAGAAAGGAAGGTTTA